TTGTCACATATCTTTGATGGTTTCATTTCATATTTAATCAAAGTGCCTAGGACTGATGGGCCGGACACAATTAACTTTGTGAACATTTTTACCGCTAATTAAACTTGATTGAGATCGTAAGACAATTTAGAAAAATGCTCATCAGTTTTCCAGTCACAGATTTGGGCTATGCACGCTATGTGGGTTGTTGTACTTTTTCATATGTATTTCGTATAGTAAATCACTTGGATACGTTCGCTGCTGCAAATATTTTTCAATCGGTACAATTTTAATATAAATTGTCGTTGATTTTAAGAACAAATAAAAAAAAAAAATAAATAAATTTCTTATTATTTACTTCGTTTCATTTCCTTTTTCACTTACTACTTTTGAGGTTAGATTCTAGCCCTTGTTCTAGCTTCGTAATGATCGTAAATTATATTCGCAATTTTATCATTTTTTAACAAAATAGAAATTCAATTGTGAATACTTTGCGCCAGTCGACAAACTTTTCAACGTCCTGTCAATAAAAATCGAATCCGATTACACAAAGGAAAGTAACATCTAAAGCGAACGTCACAAACCGCATATCAGAATTTCAATGACTGCCGATCTATAGATAATAGATAGCGTTACGAGTAATATTCGTTTCATTTCAATGAAAAATTGCAGAATCAGGATCATTTTAGAAAAAAGTCTCGAATTACTGTGAACAAAGTTCAGCGAGAGTTGCCGCATCCTGTACTGTTGCTTAACCATTCTCAGTTACAAAATGCTCGCTTTTTTATTCATTATGAATTATTTATTGTACATTTTCTTCAGTTGTCGTTGCATCATATAATATTTACTTTCATATACGAATTTACTTACACTTAAAAATTGACTGATACTTCTCTGCGCTTGCATTACAGCATTAAGGTATACATATAACGGCTGTTATAAGCTCTAGTAATGCCATGAATCACTTGTGCTGCAAGCTTATGCTAAGTTTGTGCTCATATTACAATACGTGCACAGATTTTGCATTCATTGTTATATGTTAATTGTAAGTTGGAATTATTTTTGGAATGAGTTTAAGCATTTCTGCCGATACGTACATATATAGTTTTGTGTATTCAACCTCTAACGTTTAAACAAATTTTGTTGCACTTCTATATTCCGGCCTATGAATGCAATCTATTGAAAATAAATTGCATTGGATCGATCATTTTCTTCATCACTACTCATATAAGATAACCTAGTTTATCGACCTATGTAAATGAATTTGAAACATTTGAGTGGTATTGAGAGCCTTCTATTTTAAACTTCCTGTGTCTTAAGTCTTATCAGTTATTATCGTACTTTATAGTGAAACTTAGTATAAAATAATGATTTAGACGTTATACGGACCTCTTTCTATATGTCTGCCCATTAAAAGCAAGCACCAGTATGTATGTAATTTTTAATATTTTCTGACAAAGACGACGGAATAGATAGATGAGGTATTATAGTAATGCTCACAATTCGTCCTCGCCCTGCAATATCGCAGTGATTTTTTTTTTTTTTTTTTGCTGTCTATAGATACAGATTTAGTAGCAAATTTATTTAATTCAAGAGTAAGCAAACTTACCGCTGGTAGGTTACGTATATTTATCAATAAAGATTCTTACGTCATTGTTTATAGATGCGTGGGGTAAGAATCGATGAATCGTTGAAATGAAATAAACAAAAATTTATACTATTAAATGATGGCCCGGAGTAACCAAGTAGTTGGACAATACTGATTTAAATACAGTTTTAAAACTTAAAGAGGATTAGATCCGCAATTCTTGTATAAATTTCGTAAAATTACTACTGCAGATGGACGATGAGCAGTAAAAGTTCAATTCAATTCAATTCAATTGAAGCCAAATACAATCTCAGTTTTGTTTTTGAATTCATTTCATTCTTCAAATTATTTATCATTATACGTTTTAAGCAAAAATGAAATTTTAATAACATTATTATTTACTTATTTATTTATTTATTTATTTTTTATTTTTGTTATCGACTTTTTACATATTTCGGACTTTGTGAATAAATACAATTAAACAATTATTTAACTATTTCATCTCTTTACACGTGCAATAATATTTAACATATGGGCGTGTAGATGTGCGTGCTTATAATGAAAGTACATTTGATACAAGCTATGATGCTATAAATAAGCAAAACAAGACAAGAAACGTAATCAATGCGAGATAAACGTAGAAATACTGAAATATATGAAATAAAAAAAATTACTTTTTTTTTTTTTATTTATACGTCATATATATATGTATATATGTCAATGTGAATCAAGTTAATTGATTAAAAGAAGTTGATTTTTTTTTTTTACTTGAATAAATTGTGTTTTCATTCTTTTAACTTTCCAGGTGCCGTTTCGAGCGGCTCTTCATAATTTAAATCACTTTCATATGTAAAGCGATTTTCTAAAAATCATTCATCACTTCACAGTTATAATCACTTTTACGCTGAACTTCAAATTCGATTCAATAGCTTTTGGTGAAAGTCTACTCAACTCAATCAATTAATTAATTAATGTTTTGCTCATTTTGAACAACTAATGCCATCGTTTCCGCGTTTACGCTTAATAATTATTTTGGAGGACTTCTAACCTCTAAGCAATTCCAAATCTCTTTGATTGCGATATCATATCAATTCGCCTCATTATTGCAATCTCTGTTTGATATATGAAAGCGGCCATCATGCATCTCTCTCGCGCGATTTCATCTTCAACACTAACTTGCCCGATCTCTGTATTGTCTAAAAGTAAAGAACGCGGTTCCAATGTCACGACTGAAGATCTTTAAAAAAAATAACATCTTTAGAGATTACACTACGCGTGGTAAAGAATATATTAAGTAGATGCGAACGTATGTAACACGAAGAAGCGCTTATCGCTTCAGAATCATAATCTGAGTTGATCTAAGCCCCTCTGTCCGTTTGATTGCCACCCATGTATATTCGTGTTCAAGCTACAGATAGCAGTTTTTGAGATATTTTGATGAAAATTGCTACAGTGACGTGTGCTGACTCGATCGGTCTATCTTTTCGAGAACTGATCATGTAATGCTCTCTATTCTGAAAAGTCGTTATATGGAAAAAAAATTGCAATTTTCAAAATTTCACAGCAAAAGTGGCTTAAGTAATTAGCATTTTATCTTGGCAAACTTTGGATCGGCTGAGGCAATTTTTGGATTCTCTCTCATATAACGAAAACTAAAGTTCATAATTTTCATTGCTTCATGATGATGAAAATTATGTCATAATGTATGCATTCAATATAAAAAAAATTAACTATAATAAATTTGGACCAAGTCGGTCTTTTTTTTTGGATTGCACTCTATATATAGGGATTTTCACGAAATTTGATGCTTTTTAGAGCAGAGGGGTCCAAGTTTTAATATGTGGTCATAAAAGTTGACCCATAATAGTAATTTAATGTGGTATAGGGTGTTTAATCGTCGGCTTTACCCGACTATAATGTTCTTATTTATTCTTTCTTGAGAATTTTGTTTCCTAAAGAATCGGGTTATTCTATTGCAGCTGCAACCTAAGCACTAAGAAGCAAATACTTTATATAAACTAAGTGTGCGTAGTTTTTATTTTTTTTTATCAGATTTGAAAGCCTATTCATCATGAAACAGTGAGGCAAATAAATGATTACCCCAGTTCTAGATCAATAAATAAGATACCTATTGAGAGGAAGATGACTTTTTTTTTTTTTTCAAAACTAAGTCTTATTTCCCAACATAACCATGACCTAACCAGACTCCAAGTCCAACGATCATCTCCTTCCCATTTAAGACTGGATATAACGCGACATTTTTTCCCGAAAAAAACATCTTTCCACACAGATAGCAATCATCATCAAATCTAAAGAATACCTCAGTTGCGGAAACACTTCGTATCTTGAATCATTGAATTTTTCTTGTACTGATGCGTTATCTTCAAATTTTCTTCATTTTCTTTTTCCTCTTGATTTTTCTATTCAATCGACCTAATACGCTTGCACTACAGGCGAACTTTTCAAGGACCACAACCTTCTCCATCGCTATATTATGGTCGGCTTAGTGTAGTTTCCTCCGGCAAAAGCCGAAGTCCCGACTCTTCACGTTGTTGCGAGTACAGTGCGTTGTAGGGTTGTACACGGACATGCCATTCATAAGTGCAGTATATGTCATGGTTTTTTAATCCTTAAATTATCGTGGCGTAGCAGTTTTCGTAATTTCTTACGTTTCAATAGCATTTTTGCTCAAATACATGCGAGACAAGCGAAACTAATTAATGGCGTCTTTTGGGGCATAACTCGCTTCAGCGAGCTAAGTTAAGTAGGGAAGGTGAGGATGTTTGCTTTGTCATCCATACGGCAGCGTTTTAGTTAGAGTACTTCTTCTCTTATATAATGAAAGTTCAAAAGAAAAAAAAAAGAAAGAAAAACCATATGATTAGGATCAAAAATATTCGGGATATGAAAATAGGGTTTTCCGTTCATACACTGATAAATAAAGTACTGTTATATCATATAAAGATGTATCCTGAAATGTTTATATGAATGGATTTGGGCTGCATCTTACAATCGGAGAGCATACGCAAGCTTGTGACGGGTATTGTAAGATTGAGAGCAAGTGATATTAAATTTATTTCTGCGACAATCAAAAATATTCATCAGAGATCCTGGTAATCCGTTGACTTTGAATTCGTTCATAAAATATTTCTACGATTCTCTACACTTTCAGCGCAATAATGGTCGCCATCCATCTATCAACTAAATACGAATTTTTTAGCAATTAATTGAACTGAAGTGTGTGGGTATTCGTTCATGATCGCAAAGCGATGGGATCTGGTGTCGTTTCACGCTTTAAATAATAACAAGATATTATTGTCGCTTCAAATATACGAAATCTTTTTATTTAATTACTCTCCATACTTATGCGTATACGGTAGCGGTATGTGATTTATAATCAATCCCTATGAATGAAAAAAATTTATTTGTTTCAATTTTTATTGCAGTTAACTTGTCATTTGTATTTATTAGCGTGCAGTCTTAATCACATAATCACATACGATATGATGTCTTTTTGTTTTTTTTTTTTCGTCACGGTTTCATAATCAAAGTTGTGATTGATTTTCATCTCTTAGAATTTTTTCATAATAAAGCTTATTAAAGTGTTCCAGTAGGACGAACATGAAAACGGTGTGTCGGGCTAAACGAAGAAAATACGGCGAGAAACCTTTCCATAAGGCCATGAATCCTTCGGTTCGGATTACTTGCATAATAACATCGAGACTATGTTTGTATTGCCTTTCGTGAAAGTGAGCTGGTCTTTCCATTGTTTGCAAGCGAGTTTTGGCCATATCGAGGGGCATTGAAACGATAGTAGTTATTAGACCGGATACAAATCCGGTGCATGCATGCAGGAAGAGACCTTCATTAAGCGTATAACGTTTCTGTAAATAATTTTTTAATTGTGAATACGAAGCCAACTGACACATATTTACAACCATAGCACGTGCAGTTGTCGGCAGACATCCCGACCATAGGCCAGCTAGGCCCTCTTCTCTTCCAATACGTATTAAAGCGTCAAATATATTTTTATAATTTCTTCTAAGATGCGGCGGCATATTACCATCAGTGACCGTTCGTACGAGTACCACATCTGCCGGAGTTCCAACAAGTGCGCCAGCCGCTCCAGCTATTAGACCATATCCGGCGCAAGTTAACATGGATGGAACGCAGCCATTCGCCCGTTTATATGTATCAAAATAATATTGATATATACCCAATCGTGTGGTCGTATACATGAGCTGACGAACTATAGACGCACCTAAGCCATTATAGAATCGAAGGACACCTTCGTATTTGTACACTTTTCTAACGACATCCCAAGTATTTCTGTAATCCTTTGCTATACCACCAGCGCCGCTCATTTGCAGGCGATTCTTTACTAGTTCCATTGGCTGCACAAGTAAAGCGGAACAGGCGCCAGCTAAGCCACCGGTGACAAATTTGGCATAAGCCGGCATCTTTTTTCTATATTTTATATTTTTGGGCTCGATCATCTTGACGCTAACAGTTTCCTATTTGCCCCCACAGCATTCTTGCGTAATGCAATCGCTGAAAAAGACCGGATAATTCGTGAAAATTTAGTGCATTTAAGAAGTTTGGCCGACTGAAAATATGTGTGAAATTTTTAATATATATATATTTTTCCTTAAGATTTTTTTTTTTATTATTATTATTATTATTTGTTTTTTTTTTTTATATTTTTTTTTCGAATTTTTTGTTTCTTTTTACTTTCTTATCAAACGAAAACATTGAGAAGAGAAGTGTCCTACACGATTATAATAGTTTTACTAGCATATAGGAACATAAAAAGAACTTTTTGAGATCGACGAAAACGTAAATAAAAAAAGCTCTGGGGAGCGTACAAATAAACCGACGGTGACATTGTATACATAACTAAAAACTTGCATTGATCTTCTTTGCCTTTCTTTCATCATTATGAGCTTTTCTTCTTTTGTTTTCTTTTTTTTTTTTGTCATCGCGTTGACATCAATTTCAATGTGTAGGCCTTGCAATTGCCTACCCTGATCCGATTAATATTTATGCGAATATATACACAATGTATGTTTTCTGCAAGCTGCTGCGTCTTCTCATTTTTTGTTGGCACTTCCCGTTATGAGACATTCGTTATATGCATGCATAATGTTTAGAAATGTGCATCGGATATTCCATGAAGTGCTGATTTAAGCCCATCTGCGTTCTGCAGTTGCGAATAGGTTGTTGATGCTTTAATTACAAAGTTAAACTTAAACATGGACGTATGTATGCATATTCGCGTATATTTGCATGTACAGTCAAACCTGTTTTTGTGCGGTAGATAGGGACCGCAGAAAAAAAACCGCACAAAAAAAAATATTCAAAAACTTCATAAATAGCTATAAGAAATAATTTTTCACAGCATATTAAAGAAAATTTTTTTTATGCGGTAGAAAGGGACCGCATAAAAAAAGTCTCACTTAGAAAATATGTCAAAGCTTTACGAAATAGCAAGAAAGTGCTTTCCAAACAAAATAAATAATTAAATTACACATTGAAACATTTAAAAAAATTTTAATTTCTAATTTTAAACAAGGAGAAATTTTCAAAATGTACATAGGTCAATACTACTCGTCGTAGTTCAAAACGCGCGTATTAATCCTGTCTTAATGGTTAAAAGGTCAGCAATTAACTAAAATGAAATGAAACTTACTTCCTACTTTGGAATCCTGTCCCCATGTAAGAATTAAACTTGCACTGTGTTAGGTTGCGTTTTGGGCCAGCTTCCTTATAAACGTGCACATGAAAAATATACCTTTATATAGAAACAAAATATAATTTTTGTGTTCTATAATTTGTAAAAAAATAAAAACTTGTTACACTATGTGGTGAAGGATATTTAATCGCCGGCCTGAGCCGACTGTAATATTCTTAGCTGTTTTTGTAGAACTATGTATTAGATAAATATGAAGTATATGAGAGTAACGTCAAAGCTGAAGACTTACAAGTGCAAATGAGCCGTCAAGTCGGTTTCAGTGTCCACGTTCATTAAGATTTTCTATGGCTTGTGGCGTATCTATTTGTCTATCTATTTCTTATGACGATCTGCAAATATTTAACTTTGTGTAAGTGTCTGTAACTTTTAAGCAAGCCGAGTGAGATTTTGGATAACCTCCACTGAAGGATTAAGTCGGGCTCATTTCGTCAAAACGTTTGCAAAACTCAAAAGTAAGCTTCATAGACCTGATGCAATAGGTATGAAAATGGCTGTTGCAATGTCTACATACCCACTGATAGCAAAAAAAGTGATGCCAACACAGTTCAGATTGACTTAACCTCTCGGCGAAATTCAATGTGTCGATATTCATATACCGCACAAAAAAAAGAATCGCACAAAAAGAATCGCACAAAAAAAAGAATCGCACAAAAAGAATCGCACAAAAAAAAGCGCATAAAAAAAGACCGCACAAAAACAGGTTTGACTGTATATACATTGTATACATATTTTAGTGCTTTCGCATCCTAAGATGAAAACTTCTGTTTCCGTTCAAATGAAATTTCGCTCAATGTGTTATATTATTTTTGCATTTTATTAATCTTTCTCGAGTAAAATTATCTAAAACCAACGAAATCTTGTACTGAATTATAAACTAGAACCGCCGTCAGAACCTAAAACATAGAATCTGTATAGTCTGTTGTACTGCTCCAAAAAGACAAGTGTCAGTATTGTGTGAGGACATATGCGAAGTAAATATGGCGTGAAACCTTTCCAAAGTGCTAGAACTCCTTCATTTTTAGCTACCTTGATCAAAACGTCAATGGAGCCGGAATATTCGGGTTTACCATCCGGAGGGGTTTTCATATTTTGTAAACGCGTCTTGGCAATATCTAAAGGCATAGAAGCCACAGAAGTTAACAGACCAGATATACAACTTGCACAGGCATGCAGTAATATTCCATCCATCTGTAGCCGACTATTATGTAGAGCGCTTTTAAATTGAGAATATGAAGCCAATTGGCACATATTGACAACCATAGCTCGGCCGACTGTAGGCAAACATCCGGTCCACAAACCTTTGATACCTTCCTCTTGATGAATACGGACCAATGCGTCTATGACATTTCTGTAATTTCTCCTTTCACTCGCCGGCAATTTACCATCAACCATCATACGTATTAATGCGACCTCGGCGGGTGTACCCACAAAAGCACCGCTAGCCCCTGCAGTCAGCCCCATAATTATGCTGGCTGCAGTGCTTGGGATTGCTAGACCCGTGCGATCTTTATACATATCATTAATTGTTTGATAGACGCCCATGCGCGTGGTCGTATAGGTGGCTTGACGCAATAAACCAGCTCCAATGCCTCTGTAGAATTTCAATAAACCTTCTTCTTTTAAAACATTGAGAACAATATCAATGGAATTTTTGTATTCCTTGTGTGCAGTACCGACACCAGTCATTTGCATACGTGTCTTAATCAAGTCCATAGGCTGCACAAAAACCGTCGCCGTCATACCAGCCAAACCACCAATAATAAATTTCATATAATTTGGCACTTTTTTTTCCTGATCCGTCATTTTACAGATATTAAGTTCGATTAATTAGATTTTTAACTTTTTACAATGTATGTGAAAAAAATATAAAAAATAAAACTCTTTACGTTACTTAAATATTCACAACAATTTTTATATTATTTTCTCGTTTCCGTTCGGTTTTATTTAAATTTTTCCGTTTCAATTTTACGGACAAAAATTGTACAAAATAACATTTTTTTTGGGAATTTTCGATATAAAGGATTTTCAGTACTGCCACCTTAATTTATTATCGAAAATATATACAAATCCATATAAAATAAATATGAGAAGTGTGTGTGTGTGTGTGACAACTATTAATAATTTTTTGTCATTGTTGTCATCTATGCGTATATTCGTGAAAGTAGGATATGTGCATGTAATGCACGCCTGAAAATTTCCATTTCATTTGAATGACAGTCTGGCAGACAGACAACCGTAGCCGCAATAATAATCAGTGTTATGGCATAATTTTTATGCTTCAACGCTTTGCTAGGGATGTTGGTCATAGTGATGGTGTTGAATGTAGGTTACATTGGTGGCCTTTGATCAATTCATGACAATACCAGCCTAATTGAAGTGTCACGATTCACATTCATTGGCGAAGGAATATTTGTATAATTATTGTTGTTATTAGAGATTCAACTATCTGAGCATGTATGCATGTATGTGCCTCCGTCAATTATATTATGACAGCAATATGCTATATACGCTTATATATATATGAAAATGTTTTGTTAGATCATTGGCAATACACCAGCAAACTACCTGCATATATAATACTTACCTATATATATATATATACATATATATATATATATATATGCATATGCATATGTGCCAATAACAAGTAATTGTGTAAAAATTCACATGTCATGTAAAATTTTGACAATTCAATAATTAGTTTTCAACCTCCAATGCATTTGTTTTCAGATTATCTCTGGATATTTGGTAAGACCATCGGTCTATACATGTATGTCGTTTGCTCGCTGTTGGTGGCTGATATCGTAAAACAATAATTTCCACAACTCGTTTTTACATGCTTTTCATATTTTTCATTGCAACGCATTTTTCCATTTCTCAAATAACTTAAAAACATATACTTGGGTACACAGGCAGCGCAAATCGACTTTAATAACTTTTTTTGAACTTTCGTTTCATTTAAAAAGAAAAAAAAATTATTGATACTGCGCTCAAATATAAATATCTGGTTAACTTGGCAGCATTAAAAAAGCTTTTAAATATAAATTGAAAAATCTCTATATTTGAAAAAAACAAAAAAAAAATTGTAGTCTACCTTTAGGCTGCTTAATATAACTTTGGCTAATTGCATTTTCTTTAACGCATAACATAACAAACAATAACAATAACATAGGTAACTGAGGACAACGGGCAGCTCGATGCATATAATTTTACTAAACTTGAGGAAAAACTTTATTTATATAAAATTATTTATGAAAATAATTAAAAATTAAACGAAATCATCTCAAATGTAAAGTAGAATAGGCTGCGTCTTTCTGAATTATGGAATTTATCTTTTTACCTTCAGCAATTCTTTGTGGATTCGTTGAATGGCAATAGAATGGAGGAGACATCAATGAAAGATTTCTTTTTTGCTAACACACTGCCAGTACGATTGATTGACTTATTTCTTGTTATATCAATCGATTAAGAAAACAATTCTTATGCGATTTAAGCTTCTTTATCCGTCCATCTGTTCTGCAGTTCACAATTTTTAGGTTATTTTGATGAAATTTTTGTACACTAACTTGTTCCCGCACAAAACGCCTTATAAAGCGAATAAATCGAGGTAAGGAAAATTTGTAATTGTAAAAAACGGCTTCCGTGAAATGTGTGTGCTTTTCGAAAACAAATAAAGTATAATAATTGATGAATTGTATTGAGCGTGGATGGTATAAGGTATTTGACTGTCGCCCATATTCAACTAAATTGTTGTAGTTGTAGTTTCACCCAAACTGTATGCAATTGATGTAGATTTTGTTAATGAAGAGAAAGGTCTCTCTTGCCATCGCCAAGGCGGTTAGAGATATAAAACATAAAGTTTTTTATAACATAAGAGGTCAATTTATACAAAAACGAAGGTGGTAACAGGAAGGTGTTACACAATTTAGGAAAAATCCCTGATATCAATCACATCATGGTAATACCTAAAAATTGCAAAATAAATATGGCGGCGTCAGTTGATGGACTTTTTTCATTTATTTTTTTTTTTTTTTATTACTTTCTGTCTGGCATACGTCACATACGAAGTTTACCTTATAACCTATTGTATAAAATGCCAGGTATTCTGTACGGATTAGTGCTTTATGATGGCAATTGATGCAAATTAATAATTTTAGCAAATAAATTTATTACGATAAAATCGAATCTATCGGACGATCGGATCTTTCTCGTCCTAGAAAAAAAAAAAAAAAAATTGCACCTTTCTATACCCACAAAATGGAATTTTTAGACGAAAAGAGGAGTAGAATAGCATTTTCTTTGTTAAAAAATTTAAGTGTAGACAATTTCGATGACGTAGATTTATATGTAGGACATTCTATCATATCAATATTAAAAATAGGTGATGAATATAGAGATCTTTAATGAAAACAAGTGAAGACATTATAGTCGGGCTAGGCCGACTATTAAGTACCCTATATCACATTGTCTAACCCATTTCTTATTTTTTCCATAGAATAGAATAATGATACCCTATTTCTACATGGACTTACAATTATGGAACTGTCCAATAAAAATTGAACCTCTTTGCAAATAAAGGCCAATTATATCCAAGAGGTTTAAGAATTTATCACAGTTAATTTTTATATCAAACTGCTGTTATAGATCAATTTTCATCATAAAATATTAAAACTTACACTTTTCTGCCGTATAAAGAGTCAATTTCCGTGACAATTCTTATATATTGTAGGATCGAAAAAATGGGCCGTGATAGTCCAAATTTGTTTCAGTTTATTTTTTTTTATTTTAAACTAATATTACTATTTAATTTACTTCATGAAGCATAGAAAATTAGACCTTTTTTCGTTATATGGGAGTGGGTTCAAAAATTGCCCCAGCCTGTTCATAGTTTTCATACCAATTTACAATGCCAAACTACTACTACTACTACTTAGCTACTTTTGCTAAGAAATTTTGAAAATTGCAGTTATTTTTTTCAAATAACAAGTTTTCAGAATAGGGCATTGTATGGGAAGTGATCGAAAAAGTGTACTGACCCGAACCATTTTCAATCGTGTTCGTTCTTGGGTCAAAGCACGTCAGTACAGTTAGTTTAATTAAAATATCCCAAAAATTGTGATCTGTAGATTGAACACGAAATTGCAACTGGACAGACACGCTTAGAAAATAATTCTGAATCAATCGGTATAATAGTCAAGTCCTTCTGGATGGTTACATACGTCCGCACAAATTTAATAAAAGTGGTGCAGGGTATAAATATATATTTCTTGTTTATGATATGAATAAGAATAAATATCGTATTCAAAATATTGCCCATTCCTACATATACAATTTTCCCATTCATCCCGCAATTTGCGGATACGGTTGTTCCTTCGAGATAAACAAGTCATCGAGCCATCGTAAGAGGTGAGTTGCTGCTCAGTAAATACGTTTCCCATTGATGAAAATAAGTAGCAATCGCAACAAGCAAGGTCTAGTCAGTAAGTGAGTAAGTAAATAGATGCTAGCACCTCCCGGTTGTCTGATTCTAATGTTTCCTGAACTGGTTTTGACGGATGTCAAGGCAAGCTTTCATTGCAGAAAATTGCCTTGTGTTGCTCATTTTGATATTCCGACTGTTTTTTAAACAACGAATAGTTCAGATGGGTTAACTGTTATTGATAGCGTTCGGTATTTATCGTTTCACTAGATTTTAATAAATACCGCAGACTTTTGTTTCCACCAAGCACAGAAGATCGCCTTCCTTCTACAGCCTTAAAGACTCGCCAGAATCTACCTATGGACTATTATGCTTGTAATACTCAAAACAGATCCCCTTCCATCTGAAGAATGAATATGATCTAAAAAGGACTTGCGTCTCACATAGCTATGCGAAACTCTGCCATTCAGCTAAAAATTTAAACGAGTTTTCTATCCTTAGATCCGATTTGTTGTCTCTCGTAAAACGGTGTGAAGTGAATGGGTTGGTTCCTAACAATACCAAATGTAAGTGCCTGCGACCGAATGCTTGAGATCTGGATATTATCTTCGATAAGAGAATGTCTTTCAACTTTCATATTGAATTTGTGGTAGGCAAAGCAAGAGGATTCTCTTGGTTTCGTTAAACGTTGATCCGAGGAATTTTAAGATCTATATATGTTTATGGCATTAGTAAGAGTATGTTGCGGTGGCTTGGTCTCTTAGCCACTCTAATGTCATTGAATTGGTGCAGATGCAATGCGTAATCCATGGTGGGGTCCAACTGCAAGGCTCCCATGATAAGAAAACAGATTGCCTTTAATTTATCTACCTAGTGCTCAGTGTTGTGTTGCTAAGAAGGGAAAATAGTTCCCTGATTCCTACTAAGCAAGGTTAACATCAATATTCTGAGACGGACCTCAATGGCGCTACGAGCCCATTAGATTACAATGTAGTGTTGTACAAATGTCGAGCGTCATGCACGCATGACGGTTAATATGTAGGAGCTTTAATGAGTCGTATTATATCAGCAATTCTCGCTGTCTGAGAAGGATGCAGTGGTTATGAAACAGCCTCTTGATAACCGACCTAAATGAATGGTTCTCTGCCATTACTTAACGCTCGTGATTGGCTTCGGTGCTGTACCACTACTTGCCCGTCGAATGCTGTTTTTTTATACCATTTACGAAATTTGATAGAGCAACATAATTATTGATAATAATATTGATCCAAGTTAGCCAAGTTAGTGTGCAAAGTATTTGTCCTCTAACTGATACAATCTTGTCTCCGTCATAGTTTCTGTATATATATTATATTAAATGTAGGGT